GATGCGTCCTGGGACGTCGCAATTCCACGACCAAGGAAGGATGTCCACGCGCTTGAGGGTCCGGGGCGTGACAGACGCTGACGTTGACAATTTTTTTTTTATTTTTTTGAATTTTTATCGATATTTTTTCTTATCTTTTTTTTTTCTTTCTCTTTTCTTTCTTTCTTTCTTCCTCTAGTCGGTCACTAGGTTTAGGACTAAATTAGTAAATTGTCAAAAATGTTTAAATTAAATTGGTAAAATTAAGAGGTTTATAACTGAATTGAACCCATACAATAGGTTGAGAATTTTTTGGACAATTTACCCTCTTCAATTAATCATGTAACTAACGACTGGGGTTTGTCCTAGTTGCCACCCTTCCTACTTGGGAAGGAGGAGATGGGGAGTTCGATTCTCTACCTTCTCAGGAGGCTAAGGGTGGGGACGTGTAGTTTTAGATGTGGGTTTCGACTCCCACGCCCTGTACGAGGTAGGGCAAAAGTCTGAGAGTGAATTTAAAGTTAGAGTAGGACATACAAAAAAAAAATTTAATCATGTAACGGAAACAAAGTCGAAAACATTATTCAACTAAGGCCATATCGCGACTAGAGCTGACTTGGTAGCTCTTCAAGAATTTTGAATATTCTCTCGTTTTTTTAAACGATGGATTATTCAACTGGTGTTTACTTAAAACTGCTAAACATTTGAGTGGACTCGATCAACCTAAAAACCAATCCTACATAGACACCAAATCTACTTTTTTCTTAAGATAAGAACCACGCGTTCAGGATGTAATTATTTTTCCCCGTCCTTATGATTTTTCAACTTTCAAAGTCTTTGGTTAATACCACGAAAAACCTTAAGGCTATGTTTAGCGGTTGGGATAAAATTCAGGATAGGATAAATTTTATCCTACCTCATGTTTGGTGCCTATCCAAGACAGGATAAAGTCGGATATAAGAGAGATAAGCCTGGATAAAATTATCCCATGGGGGAGGTGGGATAAAGGTGGATCGGATTTCTAATATCGATAATATAAAAGTTATTTTTCTCAAATAAAAAACTTGTTAAATTAATAAAATTAAGATAATATTTGAATTTTAATATAAAAAATTCAATATAACAAAATTTTCATTTTTACTTATTCTTATTTTTATTTATATATTCAAATTTCCTTCTATCTTATGATATAAATTTCATATATATAAATAAATACATTTAGTATGTATATTTATTACATATTTTAGGTATATTAGTATGTTTACTATTTAATAAAATTTTAATAGAGAATGATGGAAGGGGGAAAAAGAAATAAAAAAAAGAAAGAATTAAAAAAGAGGGGGAAAATAATAAAAATTAAGCAAATAAAAATGAAGTTGGTAAGAGTGTCATGAGAGATTTTTATCATTTTTGTTTGTGCAATTTTTAAATTCATTTACACTGATATAACGTTTATAGCAAATAATAGACATAGTAAGATGTGAAAATATCCGACTTTATTACTGCGATTCACCAAACAATAGATAGGATATGGCAAATTTCTTGGATTTCATTTTATATCCTATCCTATTCAGTCCTATTCTTGCTAGAAATCCAGACAATCAAACGCAGCCTAAATTGATACACTTATGATAAATTTATCTCAAACTAATTTTTTTACTACCAAAAACTCCAAAGTGGTACACTTTTGAGAAATTTACCCTTCGTTAGTTTATGTTAAATTTTATCGTCAAATTGCTGAGTTGGATGACACATGACAGTTGGCGGGTGTACTAGTTTGGGGTTTTACCCCTCTATTTATCACGTGTTTATCAATTTGTGATTTTTCGTGATATTAATCTAATTTAACGGAAGGTAAATTTGTTACAAGTATACCGGTTTGAAATTTTTGGTATAAATTTATTATAAATGTATCAGTTTGAAGTTTTTCGTAGTATTAACTCAAGAGATTTTGATATTATAAGCAGTTCCGGTATCCAACATTTGCATCTGTAAGTTCCTGCAGATTCACTTTAGAATGCCGTCGAAAGTACGCCTCGAGGTTAATTAACTATTTCTGTATACCGTCGCTTTCCTACACCATCCCAGATTCGAACGTCGGAAGACGCCAACCCTCCTTTTTATGAACCTGCGACGTACATATACTAATCATTACACAATTCCAAAAGCCACCACCTCGTTTTCTGTATATAGTGACACATGTCAAATTTCGTATGGATGGTCCCAATATCTTTCGACTATCTGTTACATATTGCACACCAGTCCGGGAAAAAATGGGTCGCCGTTGGGATTACATCGAAGCAGATACCGTGGCTACTACACCTGCGAGGATGAAAATGACGTGGCAATGTGACTTGAGTGATGTGGAAGCAAAGAAAACAGACGATAGTTTCTAGAAAATAGCCCATTAAGATCAGTCTTCAGACCGGTTCGATCATTGGGTGCCTAGAGGAGAGCATTACTACGGGTGTTAATTTTTCTTTTTACCAAATTATATGGCATTTCAAATGTACGAAATATTTCGATTAATTATTCTTTGAGACCTTATATTGAAGTTCATTTCATTTACTAATTTTTATTTATCTCATCATTTTGTGAATAAATAATTTTTTTAGTACATGGACGTTTTCTCTTTGTTTTTGGGCAACTAATATTCACTGACTCTGTTTATTTCGCGAAAAATGAATGATTTAGAAGACAGTTTTCCTAAAATGATCGTTTGTATTACTTGAAATAATTAACTAATGGAGAATATTTTCATTATCGATAACAATTTATGACTAAATATTTTCATGGACGATGAAAATATTTTTTGTCTGTTCATGTTGTAAGCGATACAAGATATTGTTTTAAGAAAAATATTTTTTTAATCATTTATTTTACGAGAAACAAACGGAGCCTAAATCATCAAAGAGTTTTCTGTTCAAATGATCCAGCTAGGGGAAAAGACCTTTCTTAAAAATGGGAAAAGGACATTAAAAGTGTCAAACTTTTGTACGACGCTCACTTTGGTGTTAAAACTTTTCGTCAGATCACTTTAGTGTCACGTTTATAAAAAAGAAAGAAACGATTACTTAAGTGCCATCGCCAATGTGGGTTGCCGGAAATCTAAAGTGGCAAAAATTTTTCAATTTTTTTGACCAACATGGATTGTCGACACTCCAAGTTAGCATTAGTAGCCCTAAATGACGTTGTTCAACAGTTTTTTCCTCAAATATAAACCCTAAAATTCTTCAAACCCTGATTCGGACAAATGAAGCAATTTCCCCTAATTCTCCAAACCCTAATTCAGAAGGGAATTTGGTCAAAATAGAGAGAACAATTCAACTAGCACGCGGCCATCCTTGCTATTGTCAAGCATGAAGCGGGCCTACTCCGACAATCGCTCTTTCAGGAACACGAACTTCACGAGGCCGGTCGATCGAATGTGAAAATTGAGCACATGAGGGCGCCATGGGGGGCAAAGAGGATGAAACCTAGGAGGCGAGGCTCGGGTCGTTGGAATCGAGGACAGTGCCGATCCAGTCATGGTAGGGAGAGGAAGTGGGGTTATCGCAAAAACCGAAGAGCTTGCAGATGAGGGAAGGAAGGCGAAGGAGAACAAGCGGTGAGAGAGAGAGAGAGAGAGAGAGAGAGAGAGAGAGAGAGAGAGAGAGAGAGAGAGAGAGAGAGAGAGAGAGAGAGAGAGAGAGAGAGAGAGAGATTTGTTTATTTTGAGAGAGAAATTCAATTTGAAGAGGATACATCCTCGTTTAGGTATAGAAAGGCCACGTCATAGTCCACATTGAAATTGTTCTTTTTAATAAAAAGCTTATGTATGATTAATATTTTATAAAAAAAAGTCGCATAAGACTTTTTGCAGGAATTTGTCATCGGAGACACTTAAGTTCTTTGATTTGGCACTTAAATAATTTAGCGAAAAGTTTTGGTACCAAAGTAAACGCAGTACGAAAGTTATGATACTTCTAGTGTCATTTTCCCCTTAAAAACCATTAAAATTAGCCAATCAATGAGAAAACTCATTAGGAAAAAGGTAGCTAACTTCCTTGTTATCCGAAACAACAAATAGAATTGCTTATGAAAATAAGAGAATTTGATGCATCAGGAAGTAGGTTAGTGTGTATATTAGGGAAAATTCCAAAACGGGACCCGAAGTAAAATCATTTTCTCAAATAAAGGCCTGAGGTGGCCATATCAGTCTCAAATAAGGACCTAATCTCACCAGCCCAAAGAGTATTTTCGTCTTTCACTTTTTTTTCTTTTTTCTATTTTTTTTTCTTTTCCTTTTCTTTTTTTTTCCTCTCTTCCCTTCGCCAGCCATTGCCGGGGCCGGCGGAGGCTGCCCTCGCCTAGGCTGGCGAGGCCAGGCCTGGGCAAGAGTTGCCCTCACTGGATCTGGCAAGGGTCGCCCTCACTAGATCCGGTGAGGGCGACCCTCACTAGCCCAGGCGAGGGTAGCCCTCGCCCGACGCCGGCAAGGGTCGCCCTCACTTGCCCGGCCCAGGCGAGGCAACCCTCGTCCAACTCGGGCTGGGCGGCCCTTGCCTGAGGCCGACGACCTCCACCGGCCAGGCGCAGTGACAGCTGGGAGAGAAGAAGAAAAAAGAAAAAAGAAAAAGGAAAAGAAAAAGAAAGTAAAAAAAAATTATACTTATAATTTTTTTGACTAAAATACCACTTCTCCGACGATGGAATAGTCACTGGCCGGCCAAAGGTCCTTATTTGAAACGATTTGGCTACTTTAGGCCCCTTATTTGAGACGATCTAGTCACTTCATGCCCTTATTTGAAATAATGTCCACTTGAGACCTTTATTTGAGAAAATGACTCCACTTCGGACCCTTTTTTGAAATTTTCCCTATATATTACGAGCCCGAGACTTATCTACTTTAGCTCCAACTTCCTATCTTTTATTAAATTAATTTTTATCGCATTGAAAATGAGTACAAAAAATTCATTCCAAAATATTAAAAAAAACAAAAATAAGATCACTAAGAGATGCGTACAATAGTATTTTTATATCTTCACACGATCTAAAATGCGAACAGGGTTTCCATAGGATATATCGTCCTGTTGAGTCACTCTCTCTATAAATACAGCCAAAACAAAAGCCAGTGTGTGCTAAAGGAACTGTGTCAGTCATGGCGGTTCGTGCTCATGAACCGATGCTTTTATGCATTCTACTCCTCGTGAGCTCAGTGAGTCATTGCAAAGCTGATTATGTCAGCTTTAAGCCAGGCGATTACGACACGGTCTTGCTCAACCGGAGCAGCTTCCCGGTCAGCTTCCTGTTTGGAACGGCTTCTTCCGCATACCAGGTAGATTAGATTTCATTTTCGCAACTTCCTTTTCGTCCCCATTGTTATACCTCAGAGAAACTGAGTCTATATACCATCCTGCATGGTCATTTTTTCTTTAACAGATTACATAAATGGTCATCATGTTTGTTTATTTATTTGGTTCTCTTCTTGGCTTTCAGTATGAAGGTGCAGCTAATGAAGACGGTAGAGGGCCAAGTATCTGGGATTATTTCACTCATAAGTATCCAGGTCTCTCTCTCTCTCTCTCTCTCTCTCTCTCTCTCTCTCTCTCTCCCTTCCACCTAGACACACTCACCGAGCTAATGACAGTTACAAACTGTGAGCAAAAGGTAGATGATGTGTTCCGGTCTAATGTAATTAACAGAGATAAATCCATTACACATTGAGTTAAAGTTCGGATACCAAACAAAGTAAAAGTTTAAGAACCACATTGCACATTAGGTCAAAGTTTATAAATCATTTGTGCCATCAACTCTATATCTTATCTCCATATGGTTCCTAGCAGGTAAAATAGCCGATGGTAGCAATGGAGACGTGGCTATCGATTCCTACCACCGGTATAGGGTACATCATCAGCATTGAACACCACTAATTGATTTTGATGTTGGCTAAAGAAATTGGAATAGAAAAACTTTTGGACTAATTAATTTCCCGGAAAATATTTTTCAAAATGCTATATTTTTCGCGAAACAAACAAAATCCTAATGATTAATTATTTTCTTTATTTTTTTTCTAGGAAGACGTGGGGATAATGAAGGATGTGGGGTTAGATGCCTACAGATTCTCAATCTCATGGCCTCGAATTTTACCCAGTAAGACCATCACTTTTCTATCTCATTGTATATAAAAAAATTTCTCAATAGTCATAAAAGCTTTAAATATAGCAGCGAATTCAGTCATAAATTTTTTTATTTTTATCAGTTGAGTCCTAAACTTTTGACAATTTGTCATTGTAGTCCTTCCGACTTATTTTTTTCGGAAACCACTGACGTCGGGCCAAAATTAGCCAGAAGGACTACACTGACAAACCGTCAAAATATTTAAGACTAAATTGACAAAATACAAAAGTTTATGACTGAATTGACTATCGTACAATAAATTTAGGATTTTTCAGACAATTTTTCCGACAGAAATGAGCATGTTTAATCGTGCCAATTTTTTTATGGTATTCGATCCCGAGAGTGTTGACTTTCCATTATGTCTTTATGTGCGGAAATTAACAGACGGAAAGCTAAAGGGGGGTATCAACAAGGAAGGAGTGCAATACTACAACAGCCTCATCAATGAGCTCCTTGCACACGGTCTTGGCTTTATTTCATTTCTTTTACTTGTTCATTTTTTGTTTTTCCAAATCATTTATATATAATCACTCCCTAATAAGTAGAGATTTCCTACAGGGATTCAACCTTTTGTGACACTATTTCACTATGACCTTCCCCAAGCCCTCGAGGAGGAGTATGGTGGTTTCTTGAGTCCCTGGATTGTGTAAGTCAAAAGATGTTTTTCCTTTAAACTTAGTTATGAGTACTAAAGGTTGAGATTTACATTTTGCTACTGCATTAATCAGAGATGATTTCCGGGACTATGTGGAGGTCTGCTTCAAGGAATTTGGGGATAGAGTCAAACATTGGATAACTTTGAATGAACCGTTGACATACAGTAGTGGCGGGTATGCCAACGGACAGTCGGCACCGGGTCGATGCTCCGATTGGCAGATGCTCAACTGCACGGGTGGCGATTCAGGCACCGAGCCATATATCGTCGGGCATAACCAGCTTCTTGCTCATGTGGCTGCTGTTAAATTGTACAGAGAAAAGTTTCAGGTTTCTGATCTTTCGAAACTTTACGTGGACTCATGATTAAGTGCAATCACATCAATCTTTCCCTTTTTAATGAATTGAGTCGTCAAGGTGGACCCAAATAAAAAACGATTAGGACTTGATTGACAACATTATGGACTCAATCTACCACAAGAAAAAAATGCTTAAGAATTTTGAATTGATGCAAGAAATGAAACATCTAATCGGTGTTTAAATTGACTTGTGCAATTTGACTGAAAAAACGTCACTTTTGCAGACATCTCAAAACGGAGTAATAGGAATAACATTGGTTTCTCATTGGATGGTGCCTTACTCAGATGCAAAGCATAATGAAAATGCAGCGCTAAGAGCCCTGGACTGGATGTTGGGATGGTGAGCGTGCTTCTCCAACGACCAAACTCGCACATCATATATACCCAAAATACATATCTCGAATTTCATAAATTAAATACTTAGCACTTAGCAGTTTGATTAAATAGTGAATAATTAGACAAACATATGGTTCATTTTTAGGTTCTTGGACCCGATAACATACGGCGACTATCCGCACAGCATGCGCTCGCTCGTAGGGAAAAGGCTTCCCAAGTTCACAAAGAAGCAGTCACTGTTGGTGAAAGGATCGTTTGATTTTCTCGGGTTGAATTACTACACGGCATACTACGCAAAGTACATGCCTTACTCGAATACTTTGAATTCAAGCTACCTAACAGACGATCGCGTGAACCTCTCGAGTAAGAAAAACAAAAACAATCTCTATCTGGATTATACTAATCACGATCTCAATGAAGTTCTTTTCTAATAAATTCGTGACGGTTTCTTGTAGATGAACGCAATGGGGTTCCAATTGGTCCTAGGGTACGTTTGATTCTTTCTACAACCCCATTTTGTTATATTTTCGGTTTGGTATTTTTTTCCTTTGTCTTCGTAGGGTTCATACCTTAATTTAATGTCCGCAAACACCAAATAGTATTTTTTGAGAGGATAAGGTAAATTTTCCAAATTATTTTTTTCCCCATCATGTTCATGATCCTATTATGAATGTTATTGCAGGCTGCTTCAAGTTGGCTATCTGTTTATCCCAGTGGAATACAAAGTCTTCTGATGTACGTAAAGACTAAGTACCAAAATCCACTCATTTTCATAACTGAGAACGGTGAGAAAACATTATCCCTAATGGTTAATTAACTAAAATTGCTGAGTTAATAGTTTTTTATGATTGATTATTCTCTTTCTCACACCCTATTTCTTGATTTTGGACCATCAGGAATCGATGAGTTCAATAACTCTACATTACCACTGGAGCACCAATTGGCTGACTACATAAGGATCGATTATTATTATCGCCATCTCTCGTACCTTCATAAAGCGATTAAGTAAATTTTCCTAATTTTCATGCAATTTCACTTGTGGAATGACCTTTTTTCTTTATATTCTTTCGCTTATTTTTCACATCATACATGACATTAATTAGATGTGACGTTTGGAAAATTTGTGGTAGGGATGATGTCAATGTGAAGGGCTACTTCGCATGGTCGTTGCTAGACAATTTCGAATGGAGCTCGGGATACACCGTCCGGTTCGGGATCAATTATGTCGATTACAAGAACGGATTGAAGAGATATCCGAAACAATCAGCAATATGGTTCAAGAGTTTTCTCAACAAGTTTTGATTCGATAATACATCGTATGCATATGATATATGTTACGATGATCTCAATAAATAAGGATGCAATCAATTGTGTAGTTCTCAAAACTCCATGGTGAATTTCGCGAGAATAAATTATGCCAATAAATTTCACTATTTCTGGAGGATTTTGCGAACAAATTGTCAAAACCCAATCTACATTCCTTAGTATTCATCAAAGTGTGGGGATGTGGGGGATTGTTGTAATTATATGTCGTCGAGTCAAAAATATTTTGTTGATCCATTCATGTGGGGGATCGTTGTAATTATGGATTCAAAATGTCTCTTCAGATCATTTTTGCAGCAGTTTCTATGTTTTTAATATATATAAATTGTTGTAATTATGGGTTAATAACTCAACTTGACTCTTCATTCTGCTGCAATTTCTGACTTTACATATTGTTGTTATTAAGGGTTAATGGTTCAACTAATGTGAGCATAACCGATATAACTCTTGAGTTAATGTTCTTTTAGTTTTCTGCAGCTGCTTTCTTGCTCTTTGTTTAGCGAACATCTCATGGGTATATTTTGTTACTGTTATATGTGGACAACATGGTTATTACTAGTGATAATCATAGCGGCATTACAAAACTCCAGTAGCTCTAAGTCAACAGTTTACAATGAAAGATCTTGAACAACTCAATATGCCACTAATCTTCTTTTCCATGCAGGACTTATTGATAACAAAATTTCTCAACTCCCATTGAGACTAATGCCAAATGTGATGACAAAGTTGGGACTCCTCGTCCGAATCCTACACTTTATCAATAACTGATTGGCAGTTTTGTATATCTCACGATTACAGGTCCCGACATCGCCTATGTTGTCCACATTGTCAGTCAGTTCATAATTGCACCGCGTACGATTCTCTTTGCTATTGTTGTTCGAATTCTTCGGTACATTAAGAATTTTTAACTTCATGGTCTTCACTCCACCTTAGAGTTGAAGTCTTATTCTCAAGCCAGCTAGGCTGGAGATCCTCTTGACCGTGGCTCCACTATAGGCTATTGCCTTTTTTTTTTTAGATAACTCACTTATCTCATGGGGTAAAAAGAAATAGATCATTGTCGCTCGATCTAGCACAGAAGCAGAATATCGTGCTCTTGCTAATTTGACATCAGAATTACTATGTGTTTCGCCAACAAAAAAAGGGGAATTGCCTTAGAACATGGATGGATCAATGAGTGAATCAACAAAGGTTGTGAATGGCCCTTTGTTGATTTTGGACAGAAAAATAAATAATAAGAAATTTCAAGCTATCGAGACCGGAGGCAATTGCGGCTAACCATGTAAATTGCAAAAAAGCAAAGATAAAAATAAATTTGCATAAGAACGTTGAGTTCTATAATTGTTTTGGGGTCCCAAACAAAGAGTACTCTTGGGGTATATAACCCTCTACAAACGGTAACATACAGCAGTTATTGAATTTGAACAAAGAAATAACTTCCTAATCATATCGGCGGTTACAAGAAGTTACGTAATCTTCTATTATCTAGCAACACTTATTCACAAAAAATTATTAGAATTTTACATTAGTGGCTATAGACGTATCTGCCCAGCAGTTATGTTCTTGTATTGATTCATCCTCACTTCCTTCGAGTTCCAACACTTAGTAAAATTCTCAATAGCCTGCGGTCGGTGACTTAGTTGCTAGTGAAGGCTTTCGTCGGTAACTTTCATTTTGTGTGTTGTCGATTATCTTCAAGTTGTCGATTGTTATGTTCATCGATTAGTTTTATTTTAATCAAACTTTGCTTTCCATCAACTTAGTCTAATACTTATCGATAATAAACAAGAGTTGGCCTTTTTAGTATCAACACCATGGTTGTAATGGTTATTTGAAGTCATGGGCGTCCGTCATAACGGTGGAACAAGTATTTATTGTGACAATCAAAGTGATATTCATGTAATGATGGTTTCCATAAGCGCTCTAAGCCTATTGAGTAGATTGTCATTTCATACGTTGTCACTCACGTGCGTCATGGCACTATTCATCTCGTTTCCACTTCATCTATTGATCAGACTATTGATGCTTTCAAGGCACATCCACTTAGGCGTTTTCAAGATCTTCAAACTCCATTTGACTTTTTCTACGTCACCTTGATTTTGAGGGAATGTTAGAGATAATATTTCCATTGATTTCATATATTTCTCAGGATTGCGCATCATCTTCCTTGGTTGATCCTGATTGATTGTTATTTTTTGTTACTCTCGATAATTTATTCTATAAAACCTATAAATGGACTCATGTACTCTTCATTATATACATATAAAAATATACTGAAAATTTCACGATTCTCTTTTCCACTTTATGTATATCTTAACATATGTATTTCCAACTTTGCCATTCATGCTTATAGATGACTAAGGAACTGTCGTTAGAATAAAAGAAGTAAGGGAGATAGACTGAGTGGCTCTAAATTGTTGACTCAAGCTTTATTCTATTTTATCTTCTATTAATCGTGGAACGGAAACAAAGTCGAAACCATTTTTCAACGTTTTTTTAAACGTTGGATTGTTCAACTGGTGTTTACTTATGATTTCTAGTCGACTCGATCAACCCAAAGACTAATCCTACGTAGACACCAAATCTACCAAACTTAATTTCTTCTTAAGATAAGAACCACGCTTTCAGCATGTAATTACTTTTCGCCTCCTTATTATGATTTTTCAACCTTAAAAGTCTTTAAACAGGAGATTTTGATAACATAAGCAATTCCTGCATTCAACATTTGCATTTGTAAGTTCCTGGAGATTTTAACTTTAGAATGCCGTCTAAAGTACGTCTCGAGGTTAATTAACTATTTCACTCACCAAATCATCAAAAAGTTTTCTGCTCTTATGATCCAGCTAGGTGAAAGGACGTTTCTTAAAAACCATTGGAATTAGCCAATTGACACCTATTTTTAATTGCCCAATTAAATTACACGAAATTAGGAATTAAATTTTTTATTCCTAAAACAAAAATATTTTCATTTAATTGCATGCAAGTAGACTTTAGGTGTATTTTTCATTTTTAGAATATATTTCCTTTTAAAAAAAAATCAGATTGGGTCGGCCTTGGCCTGGCCCGACCCAACCTTCTTTTCTTCCCCCCTTCCCCGCGGGACTTGGGCCGGCCCAGCCCAGCCCAGTCCCTTCTTCCCTTCTCCCTCGCGCAACCGAAGACCCGACACTCCTCTCTCTCTCTCTCTCTCTCGCTCGCGCGGCCGGCAGCACGGCCCAGCCATTCCTTCCACAAACCGCACTCAGCCCAGCCCCTCTCCCTCTCTCCTCTTCCCATTCCCACTGCCATGGACGCCGAGATGCAGGGGAACAGACCACCCCTCCCTGCACCGGCCTAGAATGGCCACAGAAGTTAAGAGCGTGAAATAGGCCGGTGCAGGCCGTCGTAGAGCGAGTTAATGGAGTAGAAGCAAGTGGCCTCTGGCCATAGAAGACCAAAGAAGAGGAGAGAGACGGGTTGGAGAACCTCGATCACAGAGAGAGCAAAAAACATAGCAGAGAGAGAAAGAAGAAACAGAGAGAGAACCTCGGTCTTGGCCGGCAGTATAAGAGCTAACTAGCGGTTCTCAATCCCTTGGGGCGGTTTTTTGATGGCCATTGGAGGCCAGATGAGGTTAAAGAATGACTTGGGTCGGCCGGCCAAGCTTCGACCGACGACTACCCTGGTCGGAGCTTGACCGACGACTACCCCGGTCGACCGTCCGGCGAGCCGTCACCCCCAATCTCCTAGCTTGAAGTGCTGAGGAGATTGAGGCCAAAGGCCGGGCGAAATAGCCGGCAAATCGCCAGATTTCTGCCCGGCCGATGGCCTCCCAAGACTGAAAGGCCGGGATTTGGCCTGAACCGGCCGGCAGAATCGTTTGGACCGGTCTGCCGACCCTATTTTGTCCTTTTCCACCGAACCAAGCCCTAATCGGACCAGATCATGGTACCTTCAAGCCAGGCGATTACGACACGGTCTCGGTCAACCGGAGCAGCTTCCCGGCCGGCTTCCTGTTCGGAACGGCTTCTTCCGCATACCAGGTAGATTAGATTTCATTTTCACAACTTCCTTTTCATCCCCCTTGCTATACCTCAGAGAAACTGAGTCTATATATGCATCCTGCATGGTCATTTTTTCATTAACAGATTATATAAATGGTCATACTGTATGTTTATTTATTTGGTTTTTTTCTTCTTGGCTTTCAGTATGAAGGTGCAGCTAATGAAGATAGTAGAGGGCCAAGTATTTGGGATTATTTCGCTCATAAGTATCTAGGTCTCTCTCTCTCTCTCTCTCTCTCTCTCTCTCTCTCTCTCTCTCCCACCCACCTAGACACACTCACAGAGCTAATGACAGTTACAAACTGTGAGCTTCCCTGTCTTTGAATGTAGCAGAAGGTGGCTGATGTGTTCCGATCTGATGTAATTAACAGAGATAACCACGTTGTTCATGTCGATGGAGCGCGAGCGTGTTTGAAATAATTAACCAGATGTTAGTGACATCGGCATCTATAGATAATAGATAACCATTCTGTCAGAGGCTTAGCAGCAGTAATATCTCTATAATGATAATTGTTTCTTGAAGACTGTGAATGAGCAGAGCAGCTGGGAAAGTGTGTAAAAGATGACAAACTGCGTCCTTGCCTTAGTGCACTCAGTTTTTTTCGGAGTCAAACGGGGTTTTGTTTTTTGACCAAAAAGAAAAAACGGGGTTTTGTTTTTTTTTTTCTTTTGTTTTCTCTTGAAGAATAACTCAAGATATGGTAAAACTTATGATAAAAATCGATTTATAAGGTTTTTTGGAAGATTGATAGTAAATTGAAACCGGCTTTGAGTATCAATTTTAGCATACTAGCATTGCCCTTTCTTGTACAACATGGATTTTTATATCGTGCTAATTAAAAGCATGATTGGTCCCAAAAAAAAATTAATTAAAAGCATGAGATCTTATTTAATTCCAAGATGAACCTAAAAAAGTCGTCTTTGCGATAATTTATAGACTATGGGAATCCCAAATTCTGATTCGGCAAATTTTGTGATTGTGTCATTCTCCTCTGGATTGTCGGTAGTGTAGAGAACTGACAAAATCGGCTTGTACCTGTACTTTTGCTACATGACATTTTTTAAGTAGGTTTGTGATATCAAAAATATTCTAATCAATTATTTGTCAAATATCCCACGGTATCACAATAATGCGTAATATTTAACATTTCATTTGATGTGCTTTCCAATTGAGACTTGTCGTATATCTTATCTCCATATGGTTCCTGTCGGATTTTTTTTGTTTCTCTCCATAAAGTATGGTTCATTGAATCATTACACCCTATAAAATGAAATAATGTATTTTCCTTTGCCAATTCGCAATAATGATTTCGCTCGGCATGAATTGGCAACAACAGAATGGGTC